ATTACTGTCATAAATATATATATATATATATATATATATGTGCACTTGCTAATACAAATTATTGTTGTAAGCTCTGTTTTAATTTAGATGTAATGATATAGCAACTTTCATTAGTACCTAGATTGGTAGGTTAGTTATAAATTCGAGTCCAGTGATTGAGAATTCAGTGAAGTATTCAGAGTGGAGAAATTGAGCAGTTGCTGATCTAGAGAATATTAATCGAGTAAAGTTATTCAGTAATAGTTAGATAATCAGTAAGTTAGCCAGCATTTGTTGAGGAAATTTCTGTTCAAACGTTATTAGTGTATTAGGCCTACAACTTGCGACAAAGTGAAAGTAACCTTCACAAAACTTATAAGTTATCATTTCGTGGACTAGACTAAGCATTAGTTTTTTTATCAAACAACCCAAAAGAACCTTCCCAACGATAGAATATGTTAGAACATTATAAAATATGGCTTATACGGACAAAAAGAGAGAGAAAAAAAAGAGACTTTTAAAGTTATAAAAAAGTTGAGCTTTAGGGAAAAAAGAACTGTTATTGGGTCTGGTTGTTATCCACAATGCTAAATTTCACGTCTTTAACTACAGGTACCTTTTTATATAGTATCAGTTATTTTTCCTGTTAAGTTAATAACCTAGATATTTCAGTGAGGAATTTTTTTCATTAGTCATAATTTTCCAATCCAGATTTTTCAATATAAAGTTACGATAGCCTCGAAACCGTAAACATGCTTACTTGCAAAATCCTAGTGATTAGGCCTTGCATTCAACCAGAACTGAAGGTGAACTGTCACTGACCAGTGACCATCTCGTGAGCACGTGATCGTGCATTTTGAGGTAGGTGAGAAAGGTACGCGCTGTAATCCTTAACACCCACTGTTCAGTGAACTGAAACATGACTTTTAAGTTCGTACCTCTACACAAATGTCTAAACAAGATGTAATTTTACACTTTTCTTTTTCTACTTTCTGTTAATTTCACGCTGATATTTTTTACGGTTTTTATCAGATTATGTATTTAAAGTGGGTTCAACAAGCTGTTTCGAATTTTCCATGTAAATCCATTCATTTCAATCAGAAAGTGTAAGCCGCTCTAAGTATTATCTTATTTCATGCTGTGTATATCTTGTACGACCGCGCTAGTTACAGTGTCTGCCCATAGTAACATTTTCATGACTGTCAGAATATTTTTGTTGCGTCATTGTTTTTGTTTTTTTTCTATTACCAAATGATTTGTTGTTTATCAGTTTACAATCGGTAAGTATCCAGTGAAGACAGACTAAAGATCAAATCATTAATAATAATATTTTTATTTTGTTTAGGAGGTGAAGGCATTCATCGTATGTTTTTGTTTTTTTAAGATTAAACATCCATACGATGTTTATTTAAGCGCAAAGCTGTACTCAGCACAAGTCTGCGTTGAATCCGTTGTGGGATTAGAATCACGAATTTTACCGTTACAGACATCTATATAAATAAACGTTCATAGAAAGAGTTTTCGGACACATTATCTTTGTGAATAAATTGTTTATTAATTTTATTATATTATGGCATGAAAAATTACTGAAGTAGCGAGCGTGGTCGTTTATGAAGAAAGACGGTCATAAATCAAGCTAAAACTTGTTTATAAGTTAGACCTGTTAGTTTAATGTACTCTTATTAGTATATACTGTTAGTTTAATGTACTCTTATTAGTATAGACTGTTAGTTTAATGTACTCTTATTAGTATAGACTGTTAGTTTAATGTACTCTTATTAGTATATACTGTTAGTTTAATGTACTCTTATTAGTATAGACTGTTAGTTTAATGTACTTTATTAGTACAGACTGTTAGTTTAATGTATTCTTATTAGTATATACTGTTAGTTTAATGTATTCTTATTAGTATAAACTGTTAGTTTAATGTACTTTATTAGTACAGACTGTTAGTTTAATGTATTCTTATTAGTATAGACTGTTAGTTTAATGTACTCTTATTAGTATAGACTGTTAGTTTAATGTACTCTTATTAGTATATACTGTTAGTTTAATGTACTCTTATTAGTATAGACTGTTAGTTTAATGTACTCTTATTAGTATAGACTTGTTAGTTTAATGTTCTCTTATTAGTATAAACTGTTAGTTTAAGCGCGAAGGTGCACAGTGGGGGTATCTATGCTGTGACCACTGTAGAGATCGAACCCCAAATTTGAGATTTATAAGTTTTCAAGCATACCCGCTAGGAGCCCTTATTAGTAAAGCAATGAACCAGGCAGCTAAAAAAATGAATACATTTTTGAATATTTATACATCAAAATAATTCACTTTTCTTCACGTCTTAACGAATATTTTTCAGTTTAATTAGAAAAAGTTTAAGCCAACTAAAACTATATATATATATATATATAAGTTTTCGTCCGAATTTTTATTATTTTTTCAATTGGGGCAGGTGGGAGACAAATTTTATTTTTTTAATCCTATTTTTAACAACAAGGCAACAAGGCTGTGTATTCCACTTTGTGAAACTTTTGTTTTCATTATAAAAATAGGGACTTTACACAATTCTAAATGTCAGAATGAAATTACGTCACGTGTAAGCAAGTTAATTTGTTCATTGGCCTCAGCGTGGCGCTACCAGTTTCTAAATGTAGAATAATAAAATAAAATAAAATTCTGAGGCACGGATACAAAACTAGGGGCGTGCGAGTACGAAAACCGGTTATATTTTTGAGTTTGCCTTCAACTCCAGTTTCTTCTTTTTCTATATTAAAACGATCTTACTTAGTTTTATTTTCTAGAATCGTTTCATTAGAAAATTTTCTCTGAGGGCCTTTTAGGCCTAATACGCTTCATGTCTTACAATGTAGTTTACTAGAAGATAAGGGTAGATTAGTTCAAATAGAAATAACAACATACTTAGCCGACACGACTTTAATTGGTACCACCACTCTGACCAAAGTTTACTGACAAAAATTAATTACCATACCTTGCCTTACCGACACGATTTTTCCATTAACTCCTCCAAAAGCTGCTTGCGGCTGGGACTCCTCCAAGGTGAAAAGCTCGTCTTTGGAAACTGATTGGGTCCGAGTCCTCAAAACGGCCTTGCTGCCCACTGGGGCAAGGTATCGACCATCACTGGCTCTTAACGCCAGGTATCCGTTGTGGAACTCCAGAGTGAACCTGCAGTCCTGTCCAACTGTGTCCACCAGCTTCCCACCGGTGTCTAAGCAGCGACCATCACCAGCATGGAGAGTGTATTTACCGTCACGGTAGGCCAAGGTGAACAATGTGTCCTCCCCCCAAGGAGTGTTGGCGTCAACACGGACTTCGTCCGTGTCAGGAGATAAACGGGCATAACGCCGACGACCAAGCGATCGTAGGAGAACCTGAGGTCGAACAGCCAAGTGTACATTCCACAATTCGGCGGGACCGGGTGCCTTAGCCGTGCACACGAGCTTATCATTACTGGCCCCTAGAAAGTAACCCCTAGCCAAGCTTTGAAAGGCCCATTGGCCGTCTCTGTCGTCGGCTACGAGAATTTGGAACCTGGCTTCAGCGACACTGTCTTCGGCCTCACAGGTGACGTTACCAAACTGGTCTACAGCAAGATACTTGCCTTGATGGCTTCTCAGGCACACTGCTTCTCCATCTCTCATTGGTTCTAAAGTCCACATCTGCTTTTTCTTCAGACTCAGTCCGTTGGCGTTCACCTTACAACCGAAACTCTCTGCTGTCAGGTAGCGAAACTGGCCATTGACCAGTCCTACTGTCCACGGCAGTACGTGGTCATCGCTGATATGACCGTTTGTATGATTACTCATCCCAAAATGATGTCTTAGTTACTGTAACGAAAGTTGTAATTACAATAAAACAATGCAGACCATCAATTTTAAACGTTTTTAATATGAATTATTTATTTTCCTAGTAAAAGAGGTAGCAGCTGAGTCGTGCAGTTAAGATAAATTCTGTCAGGACAAGTACAGGAAAAATAGAGCGAAGACCAATAATTAAACAAAACAATACTCTGTAATCAATAATTTTCTTTCCAGACAAGTGGTAATAATAGGCTGTCAAAACAATTACGTCAATGGCTTTAGTTATTTAACCCGTTTCCGAACTGTAATTAACCATGGAGAATGTTTAGTCGTCATTTGTTACTAACTTTGAATTCATCTATGTCTTAACGGTCTGGATATTAAGTTATTATTTACCAGATTACGACTTATGTATGGAGTAGATAACATATAAAATGTAGTCACGCTTTGGTGGTTGTCAAGTTGGATTACAAACGTTTCAGCTTCTTCTACTCCTAACCTAGTATTGTGTAAAGTTTTAACTATCCTGGATATTTCTTATTAAAGGTTTGTTTGTTTGTAATTAAGCACAAAGCTACACAATGGGCTATCTGTGCTCTGCCCACCACGGGTATCGAAACCCGCTTTCTATCGTTGTAAGTCCGAAGACATACCGCTGTGCCGCTTGGGGGGGGGGGCTTATTAAAGGAATTATCACGCAACATATACTACAGAAACCGCCATAATATTAATTCATAATTTTCATGTAACAGTATTTCAGAGCATGTGGTTTAGTGGTGCCATCTATCGCAAATATAGTTAAACAGTTTGATAACTATGGGATCTTATGAAAATAAGTTTCATTTCTTGGGTAATTTAATGCAACAAAATGAATGCAGTATTGTAAAAGGAGATGTAAATATGATGATGAACAGTGTCAACGAAAAGGTTTTTAACTGGTCATAACAGTATACCAAGTTTATTTGATATGCTATTGTTAAAATTAACTAATATTCCTGAGCATCGAGAGATCAGGATCTCGCTGGGTGATTAAATTATTGAATTTAGTAACTTTATAGTGCGAATGTTGTTTCTTTTTCAAGCAATTAAAACTGCGACGTTTCAGTCCATAGGAGAACGTCATCTTCATAACGTTGCTCAAAGATGTCCCTCCCCTGTGGCTGAAACGTTATTAACAGTTTACGAAGTGAAATTGGCATACTTTAACAAATATTGCCTGGTACAGTGTTAACAATGATTATATATATAATGTTAACAACAGTTTATAAAGTTTAGCTGGCATGGCTTAACAAAGATTGCCTAGTACAGTGTTGACAATGATTATATATATATAACGTTAACAAACAGTTTATGAAGTTTAGCTGGCATGGTTTAACAAAGATTGCCTGGTACAGTGTTGACAATGATTATATATATAACGTTAACAAACAGTTTATAAAGTTTAGCTGGCATGGCTTAACAAAGACTGCCTTCTACATTGTTGACTTATAACTTCTTTATTACTGTAAGTATCAAAGTGGAAAAATTCGTTGTTAACTATTGTTAAAAATGTAAGACCATCGGATATCATGATACATCACAATTATATATTGTGCTTTTGCTCAAGATAAGAATTGAATACAGTCAGTTGTCTTCAGTTAATGAAAACTTCTTTCAAACGTCAGTTCGCATGTTGTTAATGATACATAACTTACTACACTGTCTTTACATTAACATCACGTAATTAACTGCATCATAATAAAAACTACAAACAGTAGAAAATCTGTGGCTGTCAGGTTTATCTCCAACGTTCGGAACGAAACACAAGTTGTATTTGTCACGTTTTAAATGTATCTAAAGTTTATTGTCATCACGATACACTGTTTACCAACTACACTACCGACACGTTAAAAAAAAACCCATATACTTACCTTGACAGCTGTATCAGAGCAGGTTCTACGAACAAGTGACTCAATGGTTGTTTAGAATACCTGCTAGAGATATAACAGTGTTAGGAACTGAAGTGGAAAAACCACGTGATCTATGGCGTCCAATAAATGTTGCCTGCATACTGTTCTAGCAGCCTATAATAAAAAATAAGATTTCCTGCTGTCTTTTTTTTTTCTGTGCATAATTTCAGTGTTAACAGTATCCTGTCATTAATTGTTTGTTGGTAGATTTTTATTGATTTATTTATAGAAAACGGCACGGATGACTTGAACAAAACAAACACCCAGGAATAAAAATGAGCAGGCTTTACAAATATTAGTCTCTCTCTCACACACATAAATATATAATTATTCTCAACTTATTTATTAACATAATAACACGAAGTCTCTTTAAAAAAATAAGTTATTAAAAAAATAATCAAGTTACAACTAATTGTTACTTGCTTTGTTAACGTAATATATCAAAGAAAATGTACATATATATTTATTCTTTTTTGTGTGGATGGGTTGTTGTTTTTTGAAGCGCAAAGCCACACAATATACTATCTGTGCTCTGTCTACCGCGGGGAATCGAACTTCAAACTTTTAAGTTTTGAAACTTACTGCTGATCCACCGATAAACTCTTCTTTTGTAAACAAAAGTATAATTAATAAATCTTTCAAGAAGGTTTTCTAGGAATATTAACCAACGAGTTTAAAATAATGCTGATAAATCAAAGCAAAACAATTTTAAAGAATCTTTGTTTATTGAATTTCGCGCAAAGCTACTCGAAGGCTGTCTGCACCTGCTGTCTGTAATTTTGAAGTACTTGACTAGAGGGGAAGTAGGTAGTCGACGCCACTCGCCACCAACTCTTGGGCTGCTTTTTACCAACGAAGAGTGGGATTGACCATCGCATTATAGACCTACAACGTTAATATCCAGGGCTCGATTCTCTGCGGTGGACACAGCCCAATGTCTTTGCTCTAAAAAAATCAAAACAACCATTGCATTATAACGCCCCCACTGCTGAAAAAAAAAAAGTGGGCAAGTTTAGCGACGGGTTTCGATCCCGCGACCTATAGTCTAGTGTTATAACCACTAGGCCTTTAAAGTATCTCTAAAAATTAATATAAGACAATTAATAATTTAACAGTTGAACATAACAGTTAAGCTAATGCAAAGTGAAATCACGTGACAAACTGGAACGTTTTTCTTTACATGCATGCGTAATATATCTGAAACAATTTTTTAGTATTATAAGCCCTCAAATTGACCGATGAGCCACCAGGGGGCGTATATGATTAATATCTTAACTCACGAGCCATGAGTTCTTGGTTTAAAACAAACAAAAAACATTGATTCTGAAACTTGAACGAACAGTTCTGTAAAGCGACGTTTCACTGTAAAAAAATAAATTACCAAAAAACATTGTGATTACAGAAGGGTGTTCGTTTCAAATGGCTAAAACTACTGATAAATATACATTCATACAAAATATATATAACTGATCACAATTATATATGACCCAATCATAACATTTTGAGTAATCACAGTCTTATATTGCTTACTGTGAAAATAATATTAATATTAAGCTCATAATGTTACTGTTGTTAAACATACCATACATGTTAGTCCTAGAAATATATAAGATTTAAAAAAACCTAGAATGTTAGTGTTACCAACATAATATACACGTTTGTCCTAGAAACAGGTAAGATTAAGAAATCCAGAATATCAATGTTACCAATATAATCAAATAATAATGTACGTTAACCCTAAAAATAGATACAATTAAAAAAAACAAAATGTCAGCGTTACCAAACGTAATATATGTACGTGTTAGTCCTTAGGGATAGTTATAGTAATAGATAAAATATTGAGACGTTTAATATATATATATATATATATACTAGCAGTGATACGCAAAAAAAATTGCGGCCAAGCTAATATCTTCACTGCAATAATACTTCTTTAAATACAGGATTTCTATAATAATACAAAAGAATTATAATCGCAGACGCCAAAATCTGTAAGTTCACTTGTCTTAGGCTTAACACTTTATTAAGTACAGCCTATATTCGATAAAGAGATAAATTAATACTGTAACGTGTAAATTTTTGCTTTCGTTTAGTTAGGGCTAAACTTTATCGTACTTAATACAATCAACAAATAAACTTTAATGATATTCTAGGACCTAACGCTAGATATTCTTAAAAACTTTGATAAGCTTTTGATATGTTGTTGTATAAAATGTCTATTAAAGCATATTAACAATTTATATTGACCTTTTCTTTACATGCGTTGATATGAAGTGCTCGCCCATTTTCAGGACAGACAAAAACTGAGTATTATTACAATATATATTTATATATGTGTACATAGTCTTAATGTTGTTAGTCTCAGAATTTCTCAGTTTTCTAGCAATTGTTTTTTGATTATTTTTAATTATTCTACTGAAATAACATTTAACAATAACAGCCAAATGTACTAATATATTCGCTTATTTTTATTTACGTACAGGAATGTGTATTTCATTTCTCACAAATGTTACATTGCTGTGTTCACCATTCGGTTTATCTGACGGTTTTTATGTTAATAATTATGCACGCTTCCTTGACTTGGCTTGATTCACACAGCATGAGCTTACTGTACTACACAGGTATAGCGGATATTAAACCAAGCTAGACACTGCACCAAGAGCACGATGATACTGCTGTATATTTCTGTCCTTCAAATCAATTAGGCCTACAAGGCTACATAACCCAAAATCCAAACGACAATCCGGAAAAGTCCAGCATCTGTTTCAAATAATTAGCTAACCGTGTTGTACTTACACATTACTTTGTTCAGTACCGTGAAACGTCGGCTATTAAAGGTGTTTTCGGCAACGACGTGAGCTCATGGTTCGCATGCAGCTCGTGAGGCCAACAAACTGTGAATTCAAGAAAGTTCATCTGCCCTTCATTAGTCGATGTAGCTTTCTTATCCTTGCTGTACATCTGTAGTTTACTAAATGGTTTCTCAACATATTTGTATTCAGCATCACCTTCTGCTTTGTTTCATGATGCTTGTGAATACTACCGGAACCGGTATGGTTTACTGAACCGTCCACTATATTGTATCTTCTGATATAGGCCTACACACTCAAGCAAAGAACACAAAAACGTTGTTCCCGATGTTTTGACGTCATCATTACATTTCTGTATACTTGATGTGACTGTGTTTTGACTTGAGCATCGAAAACAACTGAAGGCTTCCTGTGTATGTAATAACGAAAAAAAAAGTCAAATAAATATTTTGTCCGTTTTCAGCACCACAACTATCTCACTATTTGTTGTTCATTTTTTATTATGACTATAATAACGGTAGTAGTACTCCTAGAGTGTAGTTCTGGTGTTTGTTTGTTATGAATTTCGCGCAAAGCTACACAAGGGCTATCCGCGCTAGCAGTCCCTAATTTAGCAGTGTAAAACTAGAGTCATCACCACCCACTCTTTTACCAACGAATAGTGAAATTGACCGTCACATTATAACGCCCTCACGGCTGAGAGGGCGAACATGTTTGGTGTGACGGGGATTCGAACCCGCGACCAGATTACGATTATGTGTCTGGTATTTTAATGAAATTAAATAATTTTTTACTAGTTCTTCTTGTTCTTGGTTTGAATAAATTATTAATTTATTTCTATTCTATATATATTACAAGAAACTTGATAAAAGACGTTCTAGCTTACTGAGCTGAAATAATTTGAAGGTCACGTGAGCTTCCGATGGCTGAAAATTTTGGAGGCAGCTAGTTTCAGGTTTCCAGCATCTGAGAAATTAAAACACAGTCATGGGTTGGTTGTCAAGAGCGAAGTTTGTTTCTTTCTATGTTAGATTTTGTTTGTTTGTTTGTTTTGGAATTTCGCGCAAAGTTACACGAAGGCTATCTGCGCTAGCCGTCCCTAATTTAGCAGTGTAAGACTAGAGGGAAGGCAGCTAGTCATCACCACCCACCGCCAACTCTTGGGCTACTCTTTCACCAACGAATAGTGGGATTGACCGTCACATTATAACGCCCCCACGGCTGAAAGGGCGAGCATGTTTGGTGGGATGCGGATTCGAACCTGCGACCCTCAGATTGTGAGTCGAGCGCCTTATCCACCTGGCCATGCCGGGCTTCTATGTTAGAACTAACCAGTTGAGAAAATATGGTATAAATATATAACCAAAAAAAAACCCCCTGCGTTACACATGATACAAGACGTCATTTCAAGTTGAAATGATAGTATGGTTATTTAGTAATTTTGTAATATTTTCTTTGTGGACCCCCGTAAGGGTTCTTTACAATTGGCTAATCACAAAATAACATTTACAAACTTGATACAAATGTTTTTGATGACATTCATAATTCAAAAATGAAATAATCACAAATTGTGCAGTGAATCAAAAAGAAACAAGCGTCAATCCGGAAACCATATTATGTTATCCTTCACGAGATGTCGCGATAGGAAGTTTAAAAAGTTCACGCTTTGAACAACAGAAAAATCCGCGGATACATCTAATTTTCACAAAAATTAAGAACTCAATAGGTATTTGGTCGAATGCATAAAAGAATGTCATTGTTTTTTGGATTTTCTTTTTTTCTTTGTAGATTGACTTGCGTAAATTACGTAAACACTAAGGGCCAGATGGTGCATGTAAGCTCAAAATGAGAATTATAGCGTAGGGGAATTTGTTCCACGCCAATGAATCTTGTAAACCGGATGCTGATTCCTTTTACTCCTTGTACCTATTTCAACAAAGATATGAAGTTATCAAAAAGTAACATCTTTTTAAATTGCTTAGATAATGTTTTGGACTTGTTGTCTGGTTGAGAGCTTTAGGTTTCATTCGAATCTTTTTTTAACTCGAAAATTATTTCAGGACCCCCCCCCCTCCAAAAAAAAAGAAGGTAGGAGAAACATGTCTATCAAAGCAGTGCTTAGTTAGCTTATGCTTTTGCAAAATCGTCGAAAACGTTATGTTTAGATTATGATAATTCATATACAATCATCATTTACATTTTTTTTATGTATTGATATATACATATACACACATTAAGTCTGAGTTGAATTTATAATATCGTGCTTACAATTATTTT